AGCACAACCAGGGCTGTGCTACAGAGAAACCCGTGTTAAAAAGCCAGAAACAAACAATCAAACAAACAAAAACACAACAAAACATCTCCCCCAAACAAATAACAACAAAACCCAACCTCCCTGTAAAACAAACAAGCAAACAAAAACCACCAACAAAAAACAACCTCCCCCCAAAACAAACAAATAAAAACCTAAAAAAAAAACATCAAAACCAAAACCAACCGAATAAAAAAATCCAAAACAAAACAAAACAGGAGCTAACAGTAAGATGTTGTAAGGTTTGAAAAAAAGGTATTTTGCAAACAGGTTGAACTTACAGTCTCCTCAGGAATAGGAGACCGAAGCACCCAAGACTAAAAGCAGAACTCCTCTCTGTAGCAGGTGAGCAAGTGATTACAAAACTGAAATTTTCAGTTACCTTTATTATCATGGGAAAAGTACTGTTGTGGGTTTATGGTCAGACAGTTTCAGTAAAATTCCAGGAAACAACTGAAGCAGTTTATGACATGTGAATCGCAAGATTATAGAGGAAGAATGAATTTAAAAAAAAAAAGACAAGTTGACCTTTAGCTTAACTTTTAGCTTGGAGCATGATTAAAGCAAACACTATAGGGACCAATACAGAAATAAATAAAAATTTACCTTAAAGGGAAATGGAGTAATGTTGTGGAATATTAGCTAAGATGTGTTGTATTCTTCTGCGCTGTGGAATGTTGGTTTAATGATGCTGCATTTAATGTTGCATTCTTTTATGTTGCATTTGTGTAACTCTGTGAAGCTGTGTTACTGTGCCTGTTTAAAGCACCTGATTGGCCTAATAAAGAGCTGAAAGGCCAATAGCAAGGCAGGAGAGAAAGATAGGTCTGTTTTATCACAGTGAAGAGGCACGATGACCAATGCAGCTTATAGAAGGAAGCATTTAATTGGGCCTGGCTTACAGTTTCAGAGGATTAGTCCTCCATGATCATCATGGCAGAGAGCATGGCAGCAGGCAGATAGGCATGGTGCTGGGGCAGTAGCTGAGAGCTCACATTTGGTCTGCAAGTTGGAGGTAGAGGGAGAGAGCAAGGCTAGGCCTAGCATGGGCTTTTGAAATCTCACCCCCCCCCCATCCCAATGACACAGCTCCTCCAACAAGGCCACGCTTTCTAATTCTTCCCAAACAGTTCCACCAACTAGGAGCTAGACATTCAAAGATATGAGCCTGTGGGGGCCTTCTCATTCAAACTACCACAATAATTGCACACTTAATTTCCAGTTGGTGACACTCTTAGGAATATATGTCAGGGAGGCAGGCTTTGAGAGTAAAAGGACTAGTCTCATTTCTAGTTCATGCTTTGCTTTGTGCTTGTGGTTCAAGATGTGAACCCCCAGTTTCTACTCCAGTTGACACACCTGCTGCTTGCTGCCATGCTTCCCAGCCTGGGCGGGCCCTTCTCCCTCTGGAACTGTAAGCCCAAGTCAAGTCTTCATATAATGAGTTGTTTCTAGCCATGGCGCTTTATCACAGCACTAGAAAAGTAACTGAGAGTGTAGGCTTTTGTGTTTTTCATTTTAGAGGATGGAGGAATGAATCTCTAAAGGGATTGTGGAGGGAATTTCCCCTGGGGAGTAAGGGGCTCATTGCAGTGCTGAGCAGAGAAGACTCAGTTCTGGGGCATGCATGGCTCATCCTGATTCGCAAGGCCACACCTCTCTTGCAGTCAGGCCAGCATGCCAAGCCCATTTCTTCAGTGATGGACTGTGATTAAACCTCACTCTGTATATGTGGTTATAGGAAAAGTTGTGCCAACACCTACTTTTGTTGGAGGAGGTCACTTGTTGGTTCCCGGCTGCTTAGCCCCGAAATAATCACACAGAAACTGTATTATTTAAATGAATGCTTGGCTTATTACCTCTAGCTTCTTATTGGCTAACTATTACATATTAATTTAACCCATTTCTAGTAATTTCTGTGTCACCATGTTGCTGTGGCTTACTGGCTAAAGTTCCAGCATCTGGTCTCTGGTGGGACTTCATGGCATCTCCCTGACTCCGCCCTTCTTTCTCCCAGCATACAACCAACTTTCCCCGCCCAGTTCTGTTCTTCCCTGCAATAGGCTCAAAGCAGTTCTTTATTCATTAACCAATAAAAGTAACACATAGACAGAAGGACCCCCCACACTATTTCCCCTTTTCTGTTTAAACAAAAAAGGAAGGCTTTAACTTTAACATAGTAAAATTACATATAACAAAACAGTTATCAAGCAAGAATTACAGTTAAAATATTTATATCTACTTTATCTTTTATCATAACTAAGGAAAACTATAACTATAAATTCTTCAACTCCATCAAAGACTCCAGAAAGATATGATATTACTTAAGTAAACAGGAAGTACATTATAAGCAACTTCCAAAACTCTAGAATTGACAAAGACATCTCACTGCCTGGACAGTCACCCAAAGTTTTCCTGTACCATTGGGGCATCTATCTTCAGCCTATAGGCCTATTTGTATCCAGCAGACTTTTCCATGAAGCAGGAAATTTCAAAGACAGTTCTGCTTATATTGGCAGTTTGCCAGTCACTTCCTTTTGTATCCTGCGGAATGTCTGGCAGACTCTTTCATGTAGCAGGAAAGGACCATCTCACCTTTAGGCAAGTTCAGCAGTCATTTCTCTGTGGGTTCTACATGTCCAGTTTATCAAGCAGTCCAGGCAAGAGCAGTTTCTTGCTAAATGGTCAACCAACTCTTCAATGCCCATCTTCTTCTTGAAGAGCTTGGTGTTGCCAGGAGCAGATGTTTCTCACTGTCATGAAAACTCTTAAGTTCTTAAACATTTTAAATGCCATATTTTGAAGGTCTCTGAAAGATTTGAAGAATACCTATCTAACTGAAATATATCTCTATACATCTAGAAAATCTAACTAACATGACTAAAAGCTTGACTATTATAGATGATTATCTATTAACTTTTATTTCTTAATTTTACATTGCATTTTAAAATGAGCTTCACAAACATAGTACCTTAATCAAGAGCAGAAATATATGTATAACAAAATTGACCTTAAATTTGTATCAATAAAACAAGATCCATACCAATGCAAAGTATCCATCTCCATTACATATCCCCCTTTAAATGTAAATAAACATTTATAGACAATATTTGGGAATATGGACATAGTTCTGTCCAAACTTCTTCCTGCTGTCTATTGGGCAAAGTAATTTTTTGAGGGGTGTTCATGGTGACCTTTCAGGGGGTCGTGGTCTATCAAACAATATTAGTCTGGAAGCAATCCAGAGGTTCTCATTCTCTGTGGAAATAAAAGAAGAACCTCTTTTCCAAAGCAACATATCCTTAAATCAAATTTTAAAGTCACGATACCTTTACGTTGGTTTATCTTACAGCCTGTGCAATGAAATGTCTCTCTATACTTAGCTTCTTCACAATCAAAAAATTTAAAGAAAACACAATAGTATACAGAATCCAGACTCTCTGTGTACATTCCATCATTACGTGACTTATTCTTTTTTTCACTCCTTTTAATCTATGACTATCTATAGTCTTTAAAGTCTTTTTAAAGACTTTGTTTTATTTTTTAAAAAAACATTTACTTCTTTTTATAACTCTCTGTACTCTTTTTCTTCTCTCTCCCAAGCCTACATACATTTATCTATCACTGTGACCCATTTAGAGGTCTTTTATGTCTGAGTCTATCCTATTGTGAATCTGTAATTATTGTCCAGGAGCACTTCTTAAAATGCTAAGCGCTTCTTAAAAACTTAAGCTGTGCCATTGCTAGGGGAAATATGGCACTATCTGCTTGCTCCACACAGTCCAACATGGTGGAAGTCTGCTAGACTGCTGGGTGGGAGCCATCCTCACCACCTCAACTCTGATAACCAGTAGGCCCATGCTGCCACCAAGTAACTTGCAGTACGCTATCCACAAACCCATTTAAATGCTTGATAGCTGAACCTCCCAAAAGAGCCAGAACCGTTGTGCTGGTGAACCAGGAAGTCGCTTTTTTTTTTTTAAGAAGCTGCACAGTTTTTACTGCACCCGGTGGCACCTTACTTGCTGCAAGCCCATCTAGAAAAAAATTGTTGCTACCAAGAAACTGCTAAACTCTGTTCTTTTATGTCGAGAATTCATTCTCAAGCTCTCTCAGGTTTTTAAGTGGATTTTAGGTGGCTACATGGATGCCAATTTGCAGTGAGGAGGAAGGGAGGCCGCTAAGTCTGAAATAATCACACAGAAACTGTATTAATTAAATCACTGCTTGGCCCATTAGCTCTAGCTTCTTATTGGCTAACTCGTACATATTAGTTTAACCCATTTCTAGTAATCTGTATATGGCCACGTGGCTGTGGCTTACCGGCTAAAGTTCCAGTGTCTGGTCTCCGGTGGGGCTACATGGCATCACCCTGTCTCCACCCTTCTTCCTCCCAGCATACAGCCTAGCTTTTCCTGCCTAGTTCTGTTCTTCCCTGCCATAGGCTCAAAGCAGTTCTTTATTCACAGACAGAAGGGGCGTGCATGGCTCGTCCTGATTCTCAAGGCCATGCCTCTCTTGCAGTCCAAGCCAGCATGTCAATCCCATTTCTTCAGTGGTGGACTGTGACTAAACCTTGCCCTGTATATGTGGCTATAGGAAAGGTTGTGCCAACGCCTACTTTGACAGACAAGTGTTACAGAGATCAATGAAAGGGAATCAAAAAATCATTATTGTGTTGGAGACATCCACTGTGTTGCCCCACTCCCTCCCATCATCAAATAAAACTGTCATTCTTTTGGCTCATTGCCCTGCATCTCTCTGGCAGCAAGTCGATTCCTCTGGGTTAAAGTCCCAAGGTTTCCAGAGTGGCATCCTTCTAAAAGCCAACACCCCAAATTCCAGACTGAAATGGTGATCCACCTACCTTCTGCCTATAGAAGGTAATACTCTGGGGCCCTGCATCCACCTATACAAGAGATGTGGGCCAGATCAAATATGAGTAACACCATTAAACAATATGCTCAATTACTGCATATTCTTATTATTGTTGGGATTATCTGCAAGGGACAGATTGGAGGGTACAGAAAGTAAGGTAGCAGTGGTTGTGGGGCTGGGGGAAAAACTAACCTCAGAGTGTCCAAGGCATGGTCGGACATGTACCAGGCCTATCCAGGAGCCATCAAGGGCCTATATCTACCTGGGTCTTTTGTTTGCCCTTCTGTGGCTTCTTGACTTGAAAGACTTGCCTTGAGGGAGAAGCTGGCATCTTCCTGCTTTTGAATGGGGAGAACATCTTCATAAGGGCTTTTATTACAGCATCATTTACCCTGTTCTGGCTTCCAGGGCCTCGGAAGACACTGCTTCATCTCTTGAGAGGCTGAGGATGTGTGTCTAGTTTTGGATGTAGGATGGTCAGGTCTGGCTTTGATGTCTTCACAGCTTGAAGGTCCCTCAGTGACATGTCACTCAGCTCCACAGAGGTCAGACTGCAGCCACATGCATAAGACAGACAGGACAAGGATCAGTTAGGGGCAAGGGTCTATCAGCTGGGGGAAAGAACCCAGGTGAGAGTGGAGTGGTTGGAGCTGTCTGCTTAGCTATAACAGAGACACAAGTACCAGAAGCTTTGGGATCTATTCAAAGTTGAGAGCCTTTGATGGAATATCGACAATGATTAAGGTCACTGGCCCAGATTGTCTCCACAGGCTATGGATATTTATTTGAGACCCAGAGCTTTGGATAGAATCATAGAAAGTGAGTCTTTGTAGGCTGGGTACCCAGCTCTGTGTGTGAACTTGGTCTCAGGGAGGGATTCCTAGGCATCTACTCTAACCTAGAGTTGATAGGCTGTGTCCTCAGTACCATGTCTCCCCTTGCCTTCACCTGAGTGTCTTTAGGCAGCAGTTAGGGTGTTTCAGGGCTGAACACAGGCAGGACACCATGTAGTTAGGCAGCTGACAGCCACTGAGATCCAGGGTGGTCAGGACCCGGCTCTGCTGGAGCAGGATGGCCAAGTACTGGATTGCTTCTTGGAGGTTAGGCATTTGCATCCTGTGGGAAGAGCTGACTTCAGAGGTTGCAGGAGTTGGGATCCCCTACCTCCAACCCTCCAAAACCAGGCCTCACCTGAGTGTCTGCACCTGGCACGTGGGCCAAACCAGTCCGTCACTCAGTAAACGCAGGCCTGCCTCAGTGAGCCGACACTGGAGAAGACCCAGCTCCCTGAGAGCAGGAGCTACCTTCAGGGCCTCAGAGAGGTCTCGACAAACTGCATCAGGTAGTTTGCAGCGTGAAAAGCTGTGGTCAAAAAGTGTGTAGGTTGGTCTGCAAGCCCCTGACCGCTTTTCCGCCTCCAGCTGAACCAACTACCAATCCCCTTGTAGCCTGATGACCAGCCAAGAAATGTATAGCTTTTCATAAATACCCCGTGGGTTCAGTTGGGCCGTCATTCCCAATGGTTGAGCACTTTTACTATTTTAGACTTTTTTTCTATTACAAATCATGAGGTGATCACCTTCATGTACTTCGTTTTCTGGGCCAAATTTTTTTTTTTTCGAGACAGGGTTTCTCTGTAGCTTTGGTGCCTGTCCCAGAACTAGCTTTTGTAGACCAGGCTGGCCTCGAACTCCCAGAGATTCGCCTGCCTCTGCCTCCCGAGTGCTGGGATTAAAGGCGTGTGCCACCACCGCCCGGCTGAGCCAAATCTTTTTGGGTCTTTTGTTTTATTTTCAGGGTGCTGGACCCTTCCCCCCACAAACCCAGCCTTCTACCTCATCCTCTATTGAAGCATGACCATCTGCTTCACCGTGGCCTGTCACTATTATTCTTATAACTTTCCTTACTCTCTGCTCAACAGTGATAGCTAAAATAAGAACTCTACCCATGGAGCCTCAGCAAATCTTATATCAATCTCGAGGTGGAATTAAATTATCTGGATATATATATATATATTTCCAAGACAGGGTTTCTCTGTGTAGCCCTGGTCATTCTGGAACTCACTTTGTATCACTTTGTAGCCCAGTCTGGCCTCGAACTCAAAGATTCACCTGCCTCTTCCTCCTGAGTGCTGGGAGTAAAGGTATGAGCTCCCACTACCCAGCTCAATAATAAGATTATTATTATTTTGAGTATATACTTATATTCTTTTAAAAGAGGATTTGTTTATTTATTATATATACAGTGTTCTGTCTGCATGCATGCCTGCATACTAGAAGAGGTAACCAGATCTCATTACAGATGGTTGTGAGCCACCAAGTAGTTGGTGGGAATTGAACTCAGGACTGTTGGAAAAGCAGCCAGTGCTCTTAACCTCTGAGCCATCCCAGCCCTCAGCTGGTTATGTCTTACAGGGAGGACACCAAAGCATGGGCAGACTGATTTGCTCAAGGGTACAGAGAGTCAGGATGCACTAGCTGGTGACCCCTCTGAACACTTTCCTTCCAAGAGATGGCCCAGCAGTCTCCAAGAGCACCAGGGAGCTTCCTTCCATAGGAAAACACTGTTGCTTTTTCCGTCTCTCCCCATAGGCTGTGCAGCATCCCGTTTCCCACAAAGCCTAGCAACAGCCTTCCTCTGCCAGAACTTAATAGTGATGGAACCTGGTTAAGCTCGCCTCCTATGTTCCCAGCCTTCCTCAGAGGGCAAATTCTGTCTCTGTACCGGGCACCCAGCTTGGAATCCCCTCCATGCTGAGGCATGGTGACTCACATCAGGATATGCAGGCCACATTGTTGGGACGTCATGGCCTCACAGAGTGGACGCAGCAGGGAGACTGGGGGTTGTTTCGTGGTGTTTTGAGAACTGTAGGGAGAGAAAAAACAAGGTTGATGACCATAATGCTCCTTCCAGGCCTTTTTAGAAAGGACTCAGTTTTTCCTTTGTAATGTCCTAGGGTTCCAGAACTGACTCTGTCACTTATCCCACATCCCTTGTGTTTCCCCATCCCGACCCTCCACAACAAACTTGAACAAAACCCAAGAGTGGGCCTGTAGGTCGCTAGGACCAGGTCTTGCCACTGTCTTGGTGTATACTCTCAACAGATGGTGAGTCTTGGGATGGGTATTGAACAGAACTTAGTTCATAGAGAGCAAATGTCCTTGTCTGTGTAGGAACCTAGGATCTGGTGGAGCTGGGCTATGGAATAGTGCAATCGGTACCTTGGAGCCAGCGGTTGGACCCAAGTGGTGAAGTCAGGGTAGACTTTGAAGATAGACAGCAAATAGCGTTGGGGCAGAGGTACAAGGCTCAGCACACAGAGGACATGGAATACCAGAATGTATGAGAAACTGCATCAGGGAGGGGCCTAGGTCGCTTCTTGGAGCAATGTTGGCTTTGCTGGGAAGGTTGCCTTGATCTGCATAAGGCATGGTGAGGTCACTCTGGGGAAGAAGAGAGACAGCTACCTTGCAAAGGGTGGGTCATCAGGTGTGGACCTGTTTCCCAGCCCAGCGGGCACACATACTGCGCTGGTGAGAACAGCCTTGCCCTCTAGACTCACCCCTTCAGCCGCTTCATCAGACTCTTTTTCTTCTTCTCCTTTACCTCCACCAGCCCACAGTTGACCAGTTTCAGAGCCTGACCAGCTGGGCAGCACCGGACGCAGTAGCTCAGGACCTCGAGGTCCATGCGGGTGAACCGAACTCGCTCCAGGACTATCTCTGGAAGGTTGGTGAGAGACTGGCGAACAAAAGCATCCTCTTGTGTCTCATACAGGCAGTACAACAGTTCCAGTCCAAAGTTGAGGTCCTCCTCATCCTCCTCTGGTTCCTCAGTGTCCTCCAGCTCATCATTCTTTTCTGGCCCTACTGGAGCCACTTTGGGGTGGCTCTGTCCTTGTACCCACCGTAGGGTGTCCTGTTTCACGCGTTCTGGCACCACACAGCCAAAATAACGTTCAACGTCACGAACCCTTTCTGCACTCAGCAGTCCGAAGAGGAAGCGGGTGGTGAGTGCAAGATGACCACGCAACTCTGCGTCAGAGTTCAGGAGCATCTTCACACCTCCCGCAGGTGCCCCTGGAGCCCCCTCAGCCTCCAGTAGGTAGGACAATGCAGCCAAGAACTCCTGGAAGCTCTGGTCAATGAACTGGTAGGTGACCTCCTTTTCTAGAACGCCCAGCACTTCTTTCTTGCTGAGAAACAATGTCTGAACTTGAGAGCCCTGAAGCTTCAACTGCGCCAGGTCATTTTCTGAGAACTGTGCTTGATGCTTCAGGATGCCCTCCCGGGCCAGACGGCACAGCGTGCGCAGTTCTCCCTGCACCCGGGGTCCATTGGTGCCTGCAGACTTCAGCATGCTGGCGATGAAGAGCAGGTACACCGATGTCGTGGTCTTGGAGGTACGAGACAGATCCTGGCCCAACTCCAGTTGCTGCTGCAGCACCGTGCACACGATCCAGCACACGAAGGGCACGAAGCACAGCGCAAACAACGTCTCATTCTCTTTCACAAAGCGGTAAGCGCGCTCTGCCTTCCTCTCATCCCTGAAGAACTTGAAGAAATACTTCTTCTTGTCTTTGTCTGAGAAGCCGCGTACTTCTGCGCACTGTGGCGAGCCCAGTCTGCCCCGCAGAGTCCCTGGGGCGACATTGCGTGTAGTCACCAGCAAGCGAGCCAAGGGCAGCAGCTCCTGGCTCAGCAGTCCTCTCAGAACTCTCAAGCCACTTGTAGCCTCGAAAGGGTCTTTGCAGGGGGCGGCCTCCGGGGCTCCAACAGCAGGCAGCTCGTCTGCACCGTCCAGGATAAACAGTAGGCGCTGGGGAAGCGCCAGTATCTGCCGCACCGGAGCCTTGCGGTCCGGACACTGGTCAAGGATCAGGTCTGCCAAGCTGCGCGTACCCGGACTCTCCAGCAGCTCGCCGCACGGCATAAAGAAGGCGAAGTCCACCTGGCCGTGGTATAGCTTGCCGGCAGCCCAATCATAGAGGATTTTCTTGGCGGCCATGGTCTTGCCAATGCCCGCCGGGCCCTGTAGTACTACGGTCAGCGGCCGCAGGCCCTCGTCATCTCCCCGGAAGAGCTTATTAAAGGTGTGCGTATCCGAGCGCCTCGCGCGCTCAGGCTCCGGCTCCTCCGACGGCCCCAGCAGCTCATCCTCCACGGCGTTGCTCCCCGGAGCGATAAGCAGCTTGGTGAAGCGCTTGTTGATCTTCACGGAGCGGGCGTTTCTCTCCTTCACTTTAGCGTGCTGTAGAAGCACGTGCTCGCGGTATTTCTTCTTGTACTCTGTAAGGTGTGAGACCGGGGAAGGTAGAGATGGACTTGCCGCCGCCCTGGAACCAACGCCCTGCCTGTCTAAACCTGGCCTCACTTTCTTTTATTGTGTCATGGCTTCCTCCTCCAGCTACCTCACCCACACCCAAGGACCCCCAAGCAGTAATAGTGTGTGCCCCGCCGAACTTACCCGACAGGGAGACAACCACTGAGCTGGGGCCGAGTTCTGGAAGAAAAACCCAACATAAGGCTCAATGAGCATGAGGGATGGGGCAAGGCATTTCCCTGGAAGTCTCTGGAACAGTACCCCCGCCCCGTGCACGATTTTTTTTTTTTTTTGGCTCGTTCTCGGGAGTAGCACAGCTTCTTGTGGTGGAGGAGAGGACGGAGTAAATCTCAACTGATTCCGCCCCATGTAACCCAACCCAGCTTACGCTGCAGCTGCTGCGCCTTGAGCCGCACCGCCACATCTCGAGCATCCGCCTTCTTCAGGATCTTTCGGGTCACATCCACGGCTGGCTCTGACCCATAAAACTGGGTCAGCTTGTCGACGAGGTCCACGGCGTCTGAGTTCTCCAGTCGCCCCCAAGGGATGCTCCGGCCATCCAGGGGCGCATCCCGCAGCTTGTGGCGAAAGCGCTTTAGCTGCTCCTGGCTCAAGTCTTCTAGTGCGGCCAGAATCAGCTCCCTTGCCAGCGCCTCCCGGCTGGGAATGAGCAGAATTATTACTGATGTGACCTGCAAGAGACCTGTCCCCAAACCTCCAAAGCACCCCTCGCGCCTCGCACATTCTCCACAGGGAGCCCCAGGACAATGTGCTTCTAATTTCTAACTGCTTGTGGTGAAGTGGACCACTCCACATCTAGCTTTCCTGCGTCCTTCCTTTCACACGCCTGGCCACACCGGATAAAGCCAGTTAAGGTCTCTACACGGGTCTGTGCTCTCCTTTGTCCCTTTGATAGCGCTCTAGCACAGCTCGCCTAGGACATAGTGAGCAGATAGGCCTGGCCCTGGCAGAGTTCCTAAGTTCTGCACTCCAAGCCCGTGTAGCACACCTTGGTAAGTCCTTTCTGGACCACAGGCACCAGGGCCTGGGTCTGAGTTCCTTGTGGGGAGCAGACTCATAAATGACCCAGCTTGAGGTTGGGGGTGTATGGGCAGGCAGAGTTGCAATAGAAGATGGGTTTTAATCAGCAGCCCAGGACAGGCTCTCGAAGTGAGCCCACTCCTTTGGAAAGTTTCCCCTGAAAGGCACACTCACCTGGAGCAGGGGGCCCCAGCCGCATCCATGGGGTCCCGTCACAGGATCTAATGCTCAGAGGTAGATACAGGGAGCAGAGGTGATCTTTCCCTGGCTAAACTGGTTTCATCCTGGGACTGGGTGCGGGGGTTGCTCAGCCTTGTCCATTTCGGCTCAGCTAGAGTCTTGCTGAGAGCGTCACAAGGCTCCCTCACTTAAGCACAGTTCAGGCTTAAAGGGTGGTGACCTTTGGTTTTCTTCTATTTTATTCTATCAGTACTCCTCCTACCAGGTGTGGCATCCAAGCAGCTGTGTAAAGGTGATTCAGGTTGTCAGAAATCGCCTTAGGTGACTTTAATTTTGCAGACTGGGTGTGAAGGCAAAGGGGGAGTGTGTGGGCAGGGCTTTGTGGAAAGGTTCTAACCAGGGGAAGTGGGGGGGGGGGGGGCGGGCCCTGAACTCTGCTGCCTGCTAATCCTCCCACACCCAGCTAAGGGGCAGAGATTGGATGCTTCTGACCTTAGGACCCGCAGGTGACTACAGGGACGTGGAGCTCCACTGACTGTGTGGGATGGTCGTGAGATAGCCATGCGTGTGTAGCGCCACATGGCAAAGATAGCGTGGCGTTCGAGTGCAGGAATACCTTTACAGTCCCTGAAGACACAGTTCACACACGCAAAGCTCTATTGCCCTTTACAGCGCATCCTTTTCTTTAAGTTCTTGAGAGCAAGTCTGCTTTGTCTCCCTCTCTTCGCTTTTGAAGGTAGACGATGCAATGCCAAGTGAGGGCCAGTGAGATGCCTTCTCAGATAATGGCGCTCGCCTGACAACCTGAGCTCCGCCCCTGGAACCTACATAAAGATGGAAGGAGAGAACCAACTCCATGAAGTCGTCCTCTGACCCCCATACCTAAGCTGTGGAATGCATACCTCCCAACAGTAAATGTTTCAAAGTGGGAGGCTGAAGAGATAGACAGCACATAAGAGAACTTGCTGCTCACGCAGAGGGCTAGTTTAGTTTCCAGCACCCACGTTAAATAGCTAACAACCACCTATAACTTCAGCTTCAGGCCATCCAGCTTTCTCCTCTGGGCTCTGTAGGTACCCCCACACAAGTGTGCGTGCATACACACGCATGTGTGTGTGTCCACCACATGCATGCCTAAAAAAAAAGCAGGGGTTGAAGAGATGACTCAACAGTTAAAAACACTGATTGTGAGTAGGGCAGTGATGGTGCACACCTTTAAACCCAGCACTCTGGGTAGCAGAGGCAGTCAGATCTCTGAGTTCAAGGCCAGCCTGGTCTACTGAGTGAGTTCCTGGAAGCCAAAACTGTTATACAGAGAAATCCTGTGTGGACAAAACAAACTAACTAACTAAAAAAGAAAAAAAAACAACAAAAACTGACTGTTCTTCCAGAGGACCCAGGTTCAATTCCTAGTATCCACACGGCAATGCAAAACCATTAAGTACAATTCTAGAGTTCTGACACCCTCTTCTGGGCTCTGTAGACACCAGGAATGCACAGGGTTTACAGACATACATGCAGGCCAAATACACATACATATAAAAATAAATTTCAAAAAATGAGCCAGGGGCTACTGGTGCACGCCTTTAATCCCATAACTCAGGAGACAGAAGCAGGTGCATCTCTGTGAGTTTGAGGCCAGCCTGGTCTACAGAGCAAATTCCAGGACAGTCAGGGCAGTTATAGAGAAACCCTGCATAACTCCAGTTCCAGGGGATCCAGCATCCTCACACAGACATATATGTAGGCAAAACACTGGAACACATAAAATAAAAATAAATTATTAAAACAATGCAAAAAGAAAGAATGAAAAGAAGCACTCATGGTATTCCTGTCCCATGGTTTGATGTATGGGTCTGACTGTGTAAGCCCGAGGACTGCTGTAAGCTTGAGGATCAGAGTTTGAATCCCCAGAGCCCATATTGGAAAACAAAACAAAACAAAACAAAACAAAACAAAAAGGCGTGGTAGCCCACAAGAGATGAAATGTAATGGTGACATTCCCTGGGTGGCTTTCCCCACACTGTTCCTTAGAAATTGTGTTTTCTGGTCTTCTAAGAATGCTGGGTTTCTAAACCTGGCTCAGTTCTGCTTCTACTTCACCTCCATCAGCCCTCAACAGTGTCCTTCAGATACTCTTCTCTGGTTGTCGGGGAGAAGACGGCAATGCCTGAGACCGAAGGTCAGCGCCGCTTTGGCTGTTGGGCATCTATCACCGGAGGTGTGGGCCCTGGGACCCCAAGGTTGGGGCTAGATTCCCCACCAGCTCTAGAGGGCCCCTCTGTACTTGGTGGCCCATGCACTGCCAGGGCTGCTGATAGCAGCTGTGGAGAGATTTTGGTCCAGTTCCAGGGGACCCGACACTTTCTCTTGACCTCTGTGAGCACCAGGCACGCAGATGAAGCACAGACATACATACGGGTCTATACACATAAAATAATATTTTTTGAAAGAAACTAGAAAAATAAAGGCAAATTAAATTCAAAATCATCAGGGAAAAAAGAAAATAATAAAATTCAGAACAGAAATCAATGAAACTGATAGTAATAAAATAAAGCAATAAAAACCAAGCTGGCTCTTTGGGAAGAATAATTTTTTTTTGTTTGTTTTTCGAGACAGGGTTTCTCTGTGGCTTTGGAGCCTGTCCTGGAACTAGCTCTGTAGACCAGGCTGGTCTCGAACTCACAGAGATCTGCCTGCCTCTGCCTCCCGAGTGCTGGGATTAAAGGCGTGCGCCACCATCGCCCGGCAAGAATAAAAATTTTAAAATCCTAGCCGAACAAAGAAAGGGAAAAAGGAAATAAAAAACAAATCACTAATATCAGACCTGGAGAGAGGTCATCACTACTGATTCCATGAGTTAAAGAATAATCAGGGAACATTCTGAGTAGCCCTCTGTCTATAAATTTGACAAAATGTACCTGTCTTTTTGTTAATGTTTGGAGACAGGGTCTCACTAGGTGCCTTGGTTGGCTTGGAACCTGTCATGTAGATCAGGCTGACCTTGAACTCAAGAGATCCACCTGCCTCTGCCACCTCCCAAGTGCTGGAATTAAAGACGTGTACCTCCAAGCCCAGCTATGTACCAGTTTCTTGGAAAATAAAATCTTCTAAAATCTATAGAAGAAATCAGTAAGTGCAATAGCCCTAGGTGGTGGATTGAATGAGGTGCCCTCCATATTACTTCCTAGGTTTGGATACTTAGTTCCCACGTGGTGATCCTGTTTGGGAAGGATTGGGAGCTGTGGCCTTGAAGAGGAAGTACGTCACCAGGGTTGGATTTTGGAGCTATTTTGAGCTATCTCTTTCCTATATCTATTCATAAATTTATTGAGTCGATACCTTGTAACTTTTCAAATATAAGTATAGGCTCTGGGGGGCTGGAGAGATGGCTCGGTGGTTGAGAGCACTGCCTGCTCTTCCAAAGGTCCTGAGTTCAATTCCCAGAAACCACATGGTGGCTCACAACCATCTGTAATGAGGTCTGGTGCCCTCTTCTGGCCTGCAGACATACACACAGACAGAATATTGTATACATAATAAATAAATAAAAAGGTATCATTAAAAAAAAGTATAGGCTCTGATTGTTTCAGTGATGGAGTCTGAGAAACATTTAAAGAAGTGAATTCGAATTTTCTGACGAAGCCAGTAATGTCTTAAAATGAAAACCTGACGAGCCATCTGAGCCCAGCTTGCCCGTAGCATAGCGAAAGGAATCTTAGGATAGTTCTTTTGTTTGTTTGTTTTTTGATTTTTGAGACAGGGTTTCTCTGTAGCTTTGGAGCCTGTCCTGGAACTGTCTCGTGTAGACCAGGCTGGCCTTGAACTCACAGAGATCCGCCTGCCTCTGCCTCCCAAGTGCTGGGATTAAAAGCGTGCGCCACCACCGCCCAGTGTAGGATAGTTCTAATCTGAGGGAAAAGACTCACGTTTGCTGTTCCAGCTATGTGTCTTTATTGTTTTGCGTTAATTTTAATTTCTTGCCCTAATTGTCTATAATTTCTTAGCTCTAATTCTGATTCTTTTTTCCTTTTCTTTTTCTTCTTCATTTTCCTACATTCTGTATCCTACATTCTTTATTCTTCCGATCTTATTCCTTCCAATGTTACAAATTCCCAAGCATGTGTATATGCATATATACACACACTTTCACTAACAACTTGTTAGTGCTAAAAAACAAAACAAAACAAAACAACAACAACAAAAAAAACTACAAGGACAGTTCTCAGGGACACAGGCATTATTTGAAGATACCTCGCAAATTTATCAGCTCATTTGTAGCTAATCACAGCTGCAGCTGTGAGGAGGTTCCAGCAGTCTCTTAAAGTGGCCTCTACAGGTTACAAAGGGAGAAAACGAAACTATTGAGGGATCAAAGGAAAGGTAAAGAATACGTGCATTGTTTTACATTTCCAAAGCACTAACATCTGGATGTGGTTAGTCAGTTAGGTGATAGTGATCTCTGGAAGGACTATAAGATAAGGACAGACACCTGCAATACCACCCAAAGGCATCATAAGTCTTTGAATGACTTAGCTCTAGCAAGGCCAGACACCTGCCATTCTGCCTTGTTAAAGTTCCCCCTGTGATTTCTCCACAAGGACTTCAGTTTGGCCAAACCATCCTGTCAGGAAGTTAATGATAGAGAACAGGTTCCCAAGTTGTTTTATTGCAGTGTGGGACAAAAGGTTTCACTGTCTTATTTGCCAGAGTATACGGTTTGGGGAAAAAGTCATCCTTCTAACAGAACCTAGGGAAATTGTACTTGACATATAAGGAATCCAGTCCCAAAGCTGAGTTGGAGAGGAAGCAGAAGAGAACGTGCAGTTTGAGGCAGCCAGCCGTTCAAAAAGCAGTGTTTTTCACAGGCCATGCCTATGTGAACTTAACCTCCATCAGATGTGTAAATCTCTGGGGGGTTGGCCTTCTAAATGTCAGCTGATCTACTGCATAACTTTGCAGATCCCATGAAAAACCTACTAGAGACCCCAGGACAAGAAAACTGTAAACTGGGTCTCTCAGGGACACAGATACAATGGTCTCCCATTAAGTACCAACAAGTGGAATCCACCTTGTGTAAAATAAAGTTATATCACAACCAAGTGGGATTTGTTTCTAGCAACAAAGCCTGCTTCAATGTACAGATATCCATTAATGTAGTCCATCACATCACATGGTCATGTTGATAGAAGAAAAAAAGGATTTGAAGCCGGATGTGTGGTCCA